TACCTTTCTCTTTCATCCTTTGAATGAGTTTATTAGCAAAGAAATAAAAAGGGTGAGAAAATACCTTTCCACCGACAGCCCTTAAGTCTAAATCAGAAGAGTTTAGGCTCAGTTGTTCAAAACAGTTTAAAACATCATCAAAAATCTCATCATTACCATTCCGTTCAAATTTTTTTTAATTTTTTTTTAAATATTTTTATGCAAATTTTTTAAGCTTAAACGGTTTTTTCAAAAAAAAAATTAAGAAACTATTTTTATTCATAAGAAACTCCATTTTTGGAGGTATTTTGAAATTGGTCCAGTTCACTTAAATCTTAATATTTTTTCGAAATATTTTGGTGGACTTCTTAAAATATAATAGATTTTATAATTCCAATGGAAAAATAGTACCGATTTTTTTTTTTTTTTGTATGGAGAGTGATGCAGTCTAATGTACATACAAATGTATATTAGGCTGCATCACTCCCTATACACAAAAAAAAATACCTTTCTACTGATACCCCATAAGTCTAAATCGGAATGGGTTTAGCCCAGTTATTATAGTTTTCGTAAATCAATCTTTGAAAAAAGATAAAAACAGCATCAAAAATCTAATTTTTACGATTCCCTTGAAAAGATTTTTAAATATTTTTATGCAGATTTTTTAAGCTTAATCTGTTTTATCTTTTTTTTCAAAAAGTTCTTTAAGAAAATATTTTTTATTTTAAGAAACTATTTTTGGAGGTATTTTGAAATCGGTCCAGTTCACGTAAATCTTAATATTTTCCTAATATTTTGGTGGACGTCTTCAAATATAATAAATTTTGTAATCACGGCGGAAAAACCGCAACCTTTTTTTTGTGATGCAGTCTAATGTATATATGTATGTACATATGTACATACATGCATATATAGTACAGAAGTGAAAACATTGTCAATAAAATTCCACAGAAAAAAATTAACTCCTCCCTGGAACATTCGCGGGTCCGCCATACTTATATAAAGTTCTGCTTGGCGTGGTAAAATATATATATACATGTCTACATGCGTGCAAATACAGTAGGGGCCACGAAAATGCAGGCACTATTATTAATCGCGTTAAAACTCCCTGTATCTAAGTAAATATATTTTCGCATATTTTTATGAAAAATTTAGTTCATTCTTCAAACAAAATCCACAAAAATCAGAGTTGCAAATTTTATGAAAACTTTAAGAAACATCTGGAAATTTTCATTAAAAATTTAGGTGTGCTGTTTTTTGCTTTATTGAATTTTGCTAAATAAAATAGAAGTTATAAGACTTACCGGCAACTTTCGACAATGTTATTTTTTGAAGATGTTGCCTATTTTGTTCAAAATAAAAACAAATTCAAACATACATATCGAGCCTTAACCGCCAAAAATACATGGCGATTTTATTTTCAAAATAAAATTTTTAATGCAGAAATCCATATCCATACATAGATGCTCTAGGAACATTTCTGCATAAAAAAATTTAAAAAATAAAATGTTGCTTACGTCTTTTTGGCGGTTAGAGCAAGATATGTTATATGAAAGAAAATGAGCAATGCTATCAACAAAAAAATGTTGTCAAAAAGCAAGGGTAAGCCTCAGCTACTATAAAATTGCACTTTATTTATCAAAATTCAATAATATGCACAACTGCATACGAAAATTTTACCTAAAATATGTAATAAAAATCTCAACAATTTTATGAAAATTTGAAGAATTTTTATTAATTTTGCACAAAAGTTTGCAACTATTTTAATTTGTTTCGTTTTGTTGAAAGATGCACTATATATTTTTGTAAAAACATGTAACAATTTATTTACTTAGACACAGTGGAGTTTTAACGCGTGTCCGGATTTTTATGGCCGCTACTGTATGTATATATTTGTATAAAAAGCGCAAAACGTACATGTGGTTTATAATTTCACATTTGTTGCCTTACTTTGAAAAGTTAATATACTCGTAAATCACCGGATACGCCTTGAAGTCTGAAAAGAGGGATCCGAAATGCCGAAAATACATTCATACATAAGTACATACATACGTATGTATAACCAGATATGTATGTAAATGTTCATACGTATGCTTCATTGCATTAACAGCAAACCAGCCGTGCACATGCGTATATGTCCATACATTCGTACATACATAATATATATGTACATTAGGGCGGGTCGAAAATTAAATTTTTCTCAAATCCTATGGTAATAGTGAAAATATATTGTATTATGAGGTCAACAACAAGCCTGTAAAATATTAATCGTTTATTCTAATTGCAAGAGCCTGCGCATCGACCCGCAAGTGACACAAAACACACTGGTCGAATAAGACGGATTCTTGTTAAAAATTCAGGGTTCAGCAAAAAGTGTTGGTGGATATTATTAGATAATGAATCTGTAAACGCAAACGACAAAGTCAAATATCATCTCTGGCAGCCCTTTGATTTATGGTTACTCTCAAACTTATCTCTTTTTCAGCCAAATTCTAATTATTCTGTTGATAATTGCACTGGTCTTTAGTCAAAACATGTAAAAACAGCATGCATATTTTTGGGGGTCTTTAGGTCGCTGTTTCCAAATATACTAATCTGTTTTGGGAACAATTTCATATGAACACCTTTAGTTCCATCCCCGTGGAAAATTTAATTCATGCAAATGAATATGGAAACATTGAACTACTACAAATTGGCCAAACACTAATTAGTTTACTTTTTGTTATGCATAAATTACAATTAAATGAAGTTCACAGGAATTTTCATTCATAATTTTTAATCTTTTTAAATAATTTCATTTAATCTGAACAACTTTTATCATATTATTATCATGAATCAGTAACAGTAAGTCTCGCCTTCTGTTTGGTACCGATCGAGTAATATTTGTGAAGGTTAGGTCGAAGAAAAGAGATGCATGTCTGTATTTTTTCGACAAAAAATTCTCTTAAATTATATAAATAACTTCGAAATATGTACATTTAATCACACGATGGCGGAATGGCCATGGATTGAATTGTTTCATTCAAGTTGAATACAAAGTTAAATTTCTAACTGGAGAGTCCCAAGAGGATAGTGCATCTACCTACGGTCACTCTTTGTCATAATTGAATTAACTTACAGATATCTAAATAAATACTTATTGCACGTCCCTACTTTTGTACAACGGTAAATTTAGAAACCGCGAAAAATATGCTTCTTCGGTAACTAATGAAACCATGCCGCTCCAATTTTCAAGAATAGATAAATGGACTTAAAATGGGCGTCGCTCACCTAAATTTTATTTAGTTAATATATGTAATATATGTAGTAGTCTTACTGAAAAATTATATATGAACGTGAGATACTAAATTTCATAACCTTTGATGTATCGTCTAGTTTATAACGCATTCCCTAGATATTACCAGCCAAAGTAAAATTTTTCAAGATCATAAACTTTAAAATCGATTGCGCGGGCTAAATATATGTTTTAAATTAACCTTTCGGACCAATTATTATTGGGTTAGACCTAAGACAACATAACATTACTATTACAGTAGGATCAAATGCCTTTTATTTTCACCCATACAAAATTGATCCAGCCTAATGTACATACATATGTACATACATACATTCATATTTCGATTTGTAGGCACTTGTGAAGTGACAATGATAATGGAATCCCAAGGGGGCAATCAGTAGAACTGTTGAAATATATATTCTTTGTAAATCGCATTTGTTTATTACTCCACTAAATCAAGTCTTAAGCTACCGAAATAAATTCGGTTTTTTCGACTTAACTTATGTTTATTGCAAATACTCATTTCAATTGTTATAAGTGCTATACATAAGAACATTTCGATGATTTCAATATTCATGTATTTGAGATCCATACTAAAGTTTGTTATTTTTTATAATATCTATCTCGCATTCATTTTGAGTTTTGAGTCAAAGATGAAGACATGGTAGAAGGGATGGTAGTTTAAAAATATATTTCTTTATTTTGGAAGATTTTGTTGAGGTTTTGAACATACATAGTTCACATACATACATTCTTAGTTTTTAAGTTCCAGCTCACNTCGACTTAACTTATGTTTATTGCAAATACTCATTTCAATTGTTATAAGTGTTATACATAAGAACATTTCGATGATTTCAATATTCATGTATTTGAGATCCATACTAAAGTTTGTTATTTTTTATTGAGTCAAAGATGAAGACATGGTATAAGGGATGGTAGTTTAAAAATATATTTCTTTATTTTGGAAGATTTTGTTGAGGTTTTGAACATACATAGTTAACATACATTCTTAGTTTTTAAGTTCCAGCTCATCATTGAAGTAATACAAATTTTAATAACAGTGTAATAGCTTTCATAAATAGTTATTATAAGAAATATGCACATAAAAAGAATTTAACCACAAGCGTTGATTATCTAAATCTTATAAATACTTTTTTCATTTTCAAATAAACTATACTTAGTGTTTAATGGAAAGTTTAAATGAGAATACTATTGTCATATTTTATGCTAAACATATTTTATACAATACGGCACATATATATTTTCTTAAATTATAGGATGCATACGTAAATAATTTAGAAAAACATAGATCCTAACTACCTACTTAAATTCTTTACGTTTCTTCATCGGCCTAAACTAAACACCAGACTAACTCTACGTTTTTCCTTGTGTATCACCTTCCATTCTCCAAACGCCAAATAAGTAACTTAGCTTTTCCGGTGGAATTACGGATGCCCCTGTAGCTCGTCGCAAACCTTTCATTTCAGTCTCGGTGCCATTTGTGGCTGCATTCAAAATCGATGCCGTTCCAATCGGCAGTCCATTGGTGGAGAGAATGCTTTTGCTCTCCATTGATTTCAGCAGGCTAATCTCACTTGTTGATAGTACCCGACACAGAAAGTCAATGTATCTGCAATGATGTAAACAAAAGAGAAAAAAGTACATACATTATGATGAAACATACACACGCATTATACAGTATACAGGATACAAGCTACAGGTAAGCTATGAAAAGGTTGCATTCGGAAAAACGGCGCCGGCTAAACCGACGCGGGAAAGCCCTCCTTATGGAAATTACAATGGTCAGAGGTTTTACCGCTTGGGAATTTAGTAAACAAGATATGTTTACCATCAATAGCGACTGTAAGTATGTATATAAGGATTTTTAGGTAAATTTGGGAATTTGTTATGGATTACTTTTCACTTTTGGATGGCTAAGAAAATAAATAAAAAAATTTTTCCCAAGCAAATTTAGCTGTGAATAATTAAGGAACAAGTTATCCTTTGCACGTATATACACATTTTGTGAAACTGAGGAAATACACAAAATATATGCAATTTTGCAGTAGCTAAGAGTTGCTGTTGATTTTTGGCACTTTTTGTTGACGGTGTTACGCAGCTCTTTCCATATAAAGCCATTGTCAAACATAATTTGTATGAAAAAAAATGCGTTCACAAAAAAAACTGCAAAAAGTTGAATGGTACAAAACTGCATACCAAATTTTTTTCTAATGCCGAGTTTCCACTTGGCATTAAAATTACAAAAAATGTGTGGTATTTAAAAAAAATGGCAAAGCATAACGTATTGTCACAAGTATTTTTAAGCCCAACTTGGACATTAAAATTTCTTTCATTGGAAATCCGTCATAAAAATTCTGTTTAAAAAGTTTGAAATTTTGGTGAAACTTGGCAGAATTTTCATAGTTCTTGCATAAAGTCTGAAATCTGGTTCTATATGATTTTTGTTAAGTAATAAGCTGTACTTAAATAAAAATATATACTTTAAATAAACAAAAGAAAATAGCCAACACTTTTTTTAAGTTTCATAAATTGCACTCGTGTAAAATTTCAACGTCCTTTGGAAAAAATCCTGACGTCAGACTGAAAATCTTAAAACGCAGTTTTACTATATTTGGCCCATAGTGTCGTGGTTATATCGATTCTTTGGTGTGTTTTGAAATTTTTTCTCGCACGGTGTTTTCTTTTATCATAGAAAGGCTTAACAACCTCACTTTAAACAAAAAAGTAAACCTTGAATTGGTTTAAAAAACATTACTTCAAACTAAAAGAATATAGCGTCGATGTTTTTGCAAAACCGCCTAAATTACGGAACTCAAATTTTACAAGAGAGCGAGAAAACCGGTTTTTCTTTGCAGGCACTGCCTTGATAGGCGGTATTTTCTGTAGCTATTATTTTGATGAATTGTTTATTTTTTTTAACCAAAAAACTTTTATAAAAAAAGGGAATAGAGACTTAGCGCTNTAAACAAAAAAGTAAACCTTGAATTGGTTTAAAAAACATTACTTCAAACTTAAAGAATATAGCGTCGATGTTTTTGCAAAACCGCCTAAATTACGGAACTCAAATTTTACAAGAGAGCGAGAAAACCGGGTTTTCTTTGCAGGCACTGCCTTGATAGGCGGTATTTTCTGTAGCTATTATTTTGATGAATTTTTTATTTTTTTTAACCAAAAAACTTTTATAAAAAAAGGGAATAGAGACTTAGCGCTAAATTCACAGTGCGTAGTTAACCACTGATAAGAGTTTAACTATTGATTTTCATATTCACAACGCTCAGTTAACGAAAGTTTAAACCAGCATGCGCCCATAGTTAAACTCTTGTGAAATAATTTTTTTTTTTGTGGAACGAACTTCAAATTTGAATAGAAAAGGATTTTGAATTTGTATATTTTCAGGCGATACGAATTTCCATAGTTAACTATGTGACTCTGAATATAAATTCATAGTTAAACTGTTGTTGGTGGTTAAGTTAACAATGGTTTAACTAAGCACTGTCAATTCGGTTCTAAGGGTGGATATTGAATTTTACAATTTTGGGACGTTATAAATAACAAAGTTTGTAACCAACTCCTGTAAAGATGCATTTTTTAATCGAAGGGTCTGATAAAAATGCAAATATATAAAAAATTTATGTTTCGGCATGTGACAACATTCCAATAAAATATATATATTTATATATATATATATATTTATATATTTTTTAAGTCGCTTTTTTCTAAAAATTACTTGTTTTTTAACTGTTTGTTTCTTAATGTACCTACATACATACAAATAGATAATATCTCAAAAATTTGACTTTTAAACTTTGTTCGTGCAAGTATTTTCTAGCTGATCACAAAGAAATTGTGGTGCAAAATTTATGAAAAAGAAATTGTAAAATAAAAAAGTCCTATGGAGGTTGCTACCATTCACGAAGTAATTGAAATGAAAACGTAAAAAGTATTTTTAATTGTTCTAGCGAAGTAAGCTCTGCATATTTTTTGACAATTTTTTTCAGAATTTCATAATCCGATAAAAAAAAGTTTAATGGTCCGAATTAGTTCCACTATCGACTGATTTTTAGTCTCTCTTACCTGGACTAATATGTATGCTTATATGAATGAAAAAAAGTTATCCCTCACTTATATTTGCAAATATGAACATGTGATGAAAAATTTTCTTTGGAGAAAAAACTAGTGATGAATCGACTTAATATGGTTGAAAAAATAGTATTCGATGGCTGCGTAATGTATAGCATATTAAAGACCAGACTTGACTAACTGCCATCCCGAAATGGAACTTTAAAAAATGCTCATGCCCATACAGTTTGTATGAAGCATACCACAATAACGCTGCGCGTGAAGGGTAGTGAAAGAGGAAACGAGAATAAAAACGATAGCAAATGCGAAAACGTCAAAAATTACACCGCGTTTATTTTGGGTATAGCGCGCGCCCGCACTCGTTGGCATTCGAAAAATGCTTAGAGCACCAAATTAGAGATGACAGTAAGGGGTAGTTATATAACGGCAGCTATCCGATTTAGAACAAAATAACTTTAAAAGTAAAAATACCTTTAAAATAAAAAATACCTGTTTGTTGCCTAAACAACATTAATTTTATACAGTAGGCTGATATATTTTTAAACTAGCTTAAAACAAGATTAAAACGACTGACAATAAAATTAACTTTAATGGGACATAGCGTGCGGTTCTTTTCAGGTTTTATATTGTCATGCTATTTGGAATATTCAATATTACTATACTGACAATGAAAACATCAGAAAAATTGCTCTTAAGATCTCTGCATATTCTTTTGAAACTCTAGTGCCTTCCGGCGAAAGCTGTAAATATCTGAAATCATTTAAGACACGAAATTCCGTTATTAAGAAGGAATATGTTCATTGCACACCTAGATCTAAAGGGAGCTAACTAACGAAAATGTATTAAGATTTTCCAATTAATGCAAATATTTTTTTCTTCATGATTAATTGCGTTGAATCTGTACGATCCACAAGTAGTTATATATCCGGATCAGATTTTTGTGTCCCTAAATTCGCGCGTCAATGGAATTTTCATTTTTGACAGGGCGTTACGTGTCGAAGTTGGATGCAGAAGACGGAAAGAAAGAGAAAGGACAAAAGTGAAAGAGGAAACTAGAATAAAAACGAGAGGAAATGAGAAAATTGGTTTGGGGATAGCGCTTGCTGCCACTCCTTAACAATGGAAAACGCAACGCTTAGCGCTCCAATTTAGGGACGCCAGTTAGCCTCTTATAAATCTGCTTTATCAGGTCTAATTTGAAAACTCATAATTTCTAAGCCTTTTGAGACTCCATCTTGGAGAAAAAAATCAGGGTAATATTAAAAGACCTATTGTGTGAAAAAGGTAAGCTATCTGTCTGATAGATTGATTTATTACCTTTCCAAGATACCTTAGCTTTGTAATAAGAGCAAAAGCAATGTTTGAGAAAAATTTTGTAAAACATTTTTAAGTCAGTTTCGGTATGGAAATAGGCTGTGTGCATAATCTGTCTTAATTATCTTTAAATCAAATAGGTGATAAAACTGAAAATCCAAAGAGGAATTAAAAATGCAGCGTTTCTAAATGTTTAAGGTTGTGTATTTCTTCTTTGTTAAGTCCAATCGAAACACAGGAAATTCTATAAGGCAAAATTAATACGAAATCTTTTAATTAACATCGAATCCTTCTGATTCGTAAAAAGTTATACTCTTCTTTATACACGCAAATTTGGTATTCAAAGCCTTGTAAAATGGTTGAAGAAAATGGCCATTAAAAGGCTTATTCCTCTCCTGAAGCATAACCATCTACTCGCATAAAAGTCATTGGGTATGCATAAAGCTTACCTTTCACTTTAAATAAAAAGCATTTGCTTCAAAGAAAAAGTAAGTTAAGTCAGTTGAAAACTTATTTCTGTTGTAAAAGGTTGTGTTAACTGATTCCCAGCGCGATAGCAGATGTTGCGCATGTGAGGGATGCTAAATACCCGCAGAAAGAAATATTGATAAAAATAACCAACTTGTAGTTAGCTTTTTTGCGGGATTTAGATAAATATATAACTTTTAGTTCTGTTGTCATAAGCAATAACCGCCTAAGTCGACTTAAGAAAGAATTGAGTTATATATGCCATCGTATTTTACAACTTCTATTCCGTGTGTATGTAAATCCCCATCTCGCCAGCTATTTAAAAAGTTATAGACGAACATATTTTGGTTTCCCCATAAGGTTAACATCACAATCCAAATGTTTAAATTATTTTTTTCTCGAATTCAGGTTTTTCAACTTAGGCGGTTATTGCTTATGACCACAGAGTTAACTACAGAAAGCTAAACTTGAGTCAGGAGTCAGGCAGACGTATTTGGGAGTTTGTTTTCTTTAAACAAGTTTCTATTTAAATATCCTCATAAAAATTTTAGTTTCAGCATACTTTTTTTCTGCACATCACAAATACTTTTTCAAATTCAGGACAAATAAAATGAAGATCGAAATTTTATATTATCATTCTGAAGTTATGTCTGACGGAACTCGAATATGGGACCACCTACAACAGAATACGTATGTAAACAGATGTGTAATGTTAAATAAAGTAAATAAATAAACAAATAAAAAATAGAAAAAAAAGTAAACATAGAAAAAAATGTTTTTCTTATTGGTATTTTATGTCCAAAAGTACTTAGTAACAAGTTAGCTGACAACTAATGCAGAGGTCACCACCCTTGACTATTTCGCGGCCCTCGCCATAGAAATATAGTCAGCTTTCTTCAAAGAAAATGTACAGATGATAGTGACCTTTAGTTTCTTCCTAATCAACTTCGGGTGAACTTATAGTTGGATACATTTCCAGCAGGGATATTACCAGCCCCGCTCTCCTACAGTTGTTCGCGATTTTAAAGATTTATATTTTTAGATACGAATGAACAAACTCGCGATGGTAACTTGGCATCTATCCATAGAATGAAGGTATGTTTGCGATATCTCAGTGACCCTGGATATCGGTAAGGTATTGGCGAAGAACTTGTTGTTCGTCAAGCAACGGTATCTTCATCGGCGTGGTGCTCGACCCTATTAAGCTGGCATTTCAGGGTGCTATTTTATATATATATAAGGATAATTTGAAAGTTAGGGGGGGCTCGAGCACCCCTCTGCCCCTACCTGGCTACGCCCATGGGTATCTTGTACTGTGAATGCAGTAGTTGAAAGCGTCATTGCGCAGGCAAATACTTAGTTGAATCAAGTAAGCAATTTTTTGCTCGCTAAAAAACTCAAGCGACATTTTTATACCCGAGCGCACTTGTGCACAAGGGTATATTAATTTTGTTCACATAACGGTTGTTTGTAACAGCCAAAACGAATCGAGATAGATATAGACAAATGTATACATAAATGATCAGGATGAAAAAAGAAATACATTAAGCCATGTCTGTCTGTCCGTCTGCCTCGTCTCCGTGTACACGATAACTCGAGCAAAAATTGAGATATCTCAACGAAATTTGGATATGTAGGTTTCCATTAATCCAAGGTAGGTTGGTATTGAAAATGGGCGAAATCGGACTTTAACCACGCCCACTTCCCATATAACGGTAATTTCCAGAAATACGAAAACTGCGATATTTTAGTAACTACTGAAGATAATTCACTCAAAATTGATATTTACAATAATTTTCAGACAAAAAATGAGACTATTATAAATTATTAGAAAATGGGCGTAGCCACGCCCACTTATGGTTACATGTGTATATCTTGGTAACCGCTGCACCAATTTCTTCCAAACTTGACACAGTTGTTGGCCTTGGTACAACATATTAAATGGCCGAAAGTTTTTAAAATCGGACAATAACCACTCCCACATCCCATATAACGGTAATTTAGAGAAATACAAAATCTTAGATAAATCAGTAAATATTAAAGGGAATTTATTCAAAATTGATGCTTGCAACAATTCTTTACCAAGAAATACGTTTACGGTAAAATTTTGGAAAAGGGCGTGGCACCGCCCACTTATGATTACATATAAGTATATCGGTAACCGTTCTACCAATTTGTACCAAACTCGGTGAGGTTATTGTGCTTGCCACATATAAGCAAAACGTTGAAAATTATTGAAATCGGACTAAAATAACGGCCGCTTCTCATATAACGGTAAATTTCAGAAATGCTTGAAACTTCAATATTTCGAAATTGAAGGACCCTAATTTACTCAAAATTTATACACCCCAGCTTACCATCTAGCGGAAGGTTTCGGAAAGGTAAAAAAACATATATTTAATACTTGCGCCGGGTATTTAATGTTCGGCTCCGCCCGCACTTAGACTTTCTTACTTGTTTTAAATTATTTTTTTTTTTGATGCCGAAATACATCTATGTATATACATACATAGATGCTCTAGGAACAGCTCCTACATACATACATATGTAATTCAAACCGGATTTTAAGCACAACTTTGAGAGAATATTGGTGGGCTGGCTTTGAAAAATGGTCGCATCGATGAAGAGGTAAAACTATTATTACTTAGCTTGAGGGTACAACTCTCCAATTTTCATTTATGTATACCACTCTTATAGTGCTGACCTTCATAGTTATTATGAAATATGAACATAAAATTACACACTATATTTCGCAGTCATAATCGATTTAGTTTATAGTTAGTAACTGCCATAACTTTTATGCCCGCTGCGGACTTCTTCCACAACGGCATGTTAACTTTGTTCTCGTAACGGTAATTTGTAACAGCATAAAATGTATGTTAGTGTTTGGCCGAGCTTCTCCTTCGACTTGTGGCGTGCGCCTTGATGTTTTCACATACTAAGTAGTACATATAATATAAACAATATATATGTACATATATTTCCTCAAACAAAGACTATCGATAGTGGCCAACAACCATTAGATAGTGCACAAAAATATAACCATTCGATAGTATGGATAGTACCAGTAGTTTTACAGCTCTGCATCGAATGTGTATATATGGAATCAGGGAAAGCTAAATTGTAGACATTCTTGATCGAATATACTATATCTTTTTAGCAGAAAAAAATGCAATTTCCATAAAATCCGTTGCCTGTATATTGATTATACTGTGTCAAATAAAACGACTAATTTCCTTCTTTCGGTTCATGTGAAGTGGCCTTTGGTATTAGGTAGGCTATTCTTGAATTTTGACGAAATAGGTTAATAACCACGCCCACCTCCCACGTAGTAATTAACAATATTTTAATTTTACTATTATACTTCGTTATTTTTTTGTGAATCAAGGCTCTTTAAAGTTACATTTCAAATATACCACCAAACATTTGTGGGTACTTTGCACCATGACAAAAAAAAATCCTATACATGCATATTGCTTCATTATTGATTTAGTGTATACTGTATGTATAGAACATGCTTTAACATGAAATTCAAAGCTCTTACGGGGCTACCTTTTTCCTTGAGCTTCTTTCCGTATTCATACTGATTACCTTTCCATTGCGAGGATATCCTTCATTTTTATGAATACGGCTCCATGAATCTCATATGTGTGAGCAAAATCAATGGAGTAAAAATTTGATAAATTTTTGCGAAGGTCGAGCTTTTTTGTACAATTATTAATCTGTTTATGCTTCACAACGATAAAAGAAAAATACAAGTGTGACAATTTTTCGAAATTCGAATTATTTTGGAAGTTATAGCTATCCACTTCTTCCGAAATAGTTTAGATTTTATTTGTTTTCTCGCGATTGGTAATACCGATTCTGCTCGTTTTTTAAGAATAATGATGTTTTCTTCCCATTTAAATTTTTGATATTGTCATAAAATTTGTTGTATAAAAGTTATTACAATTTTTTTTAAATATTGCTTATATCTCCACGGCTTTAAAATCGCATTCTGGGCTAATTTGGGCAATTATTTACAATTATTTGCATTAAAAAAAAATCTGCCGGAATGCATCGGGACGAAAGTTATTCACGCTTTTCTCTTGACGGCCAATGTATTTTGTATGGAAAACGCATATGTATGTATTATAAATGAGAAATTTAATATTTTATTTTTTGCATATTTTTATATGTAAATAATATCAAATCAGTTAACGAATCCAGAAAAAACCGGGGGACGTATACCATGAAAAAGATGTATTGTTTGGGGACAGGGAACCTGATATTCAAACAAAGTTTCTATCCTTGGTTTGGTTGAAGCGAATGTTGTAAGTAAGGCAAAGTGTGCTACTTCTCTATCCACGACTGTACGTATGTATGTATGTGCATACCACATTCATCTTTTTACATCATATTTTTTGGTTGTTTTTTTTACCAAAATCCTCACATCCTCTTACCTGGTCGCCAGTTTCAACGTTTGAATTTTGCTCAGCTTATCGCTGGGCAATGTGGGGATAATCTGCTGTAGCGCCTTGAAAGCATCATTCAAACTTTGGGTCCGTTGTCGTTCACGAACATTGGCCATAACCCGTTGATTGTGAAACTCCTCAGCATCTTCACTTCTACTCGATTTCCGTCTGGTGCGTCGTCGTGGCTTGCGGAACGGCTTAGATGAGTCTTGATTATCGGAAAGTGAATCGGCGCGTATATCCATCAGTTCATCATTGTTGGCATAATCATAGTTAGCTTCGCCAGCATCGAGGCTATTGCCGTTCAGACGCATAAACTCTAAGTCATCGCGATCGGCATTGGAGCAAGTGTTGCTCTTCAAAAAATCATACTGATCCAAACTTTTAGATGTTGTCTGTGCCTGTAGCTGTTGGCTATGCGGCAAGTCCTTGCCGTTAGCAGCATTTGTATTGAAAACAGTGTTGGCCGGCGTGCGAGGCGGTGGTGTCGCTTGGGCCAGTGGACGCTGATGCTGGTGGTGGTGCTGCTGCTGATACGAGTACTTGAAATTATCTTCACTATTTTCGCACATTTCTTGGCCAGCAAATTCGAACTGCGATGAGCGCGTGCTGCTGTTGCTATCCGTTCCATTATTGTTCGACGCACTGAGGCTAGAATTGACGTCCGTAACGGTTGTTGGCAAATATTCCAAGACAAATCTTTGTGGATCCTGCTGGTGCACGAATAGTTGCTGCTCATGTGGCAGGTGTAAGTGTTGTTTTTTCGATTCGGGCATAAGTTTTTGCTCGGCACTTTCAAATTCTCGATGTCGCTTATTAACGCCGCTTAGGTGCGTAAGCGTGTTGCATGAATTTGAAAGGTTGTAATTGTTATTTAATTCTTTTGCAAGACTGCTGCTGGTACCGTTGATGGTGGCTGCCGACGGGGAAGCTCCACCATTTCGGTTATACGGCGTTGCGGATGTGTTGACATTGTTGCTAGTGCAACTATTAACTGTGCTAAGAATTTCATGGCTGGACATATTATAGTCGGTGGTAGCCATTTCAATGTTTCCATATTCCATATATTCTGTTGACTCCCCTGTGCTTCGATGGGCGTGTATGGCAGGTTGCGTTGTCGCCAATTGCGATTCATCTGCGCTAGCTGTGGATGGCTGTGGGCTATGATGGTAGAACGTCGCCGAGAGCGAGTGTTGCTGATGGACGATGTCTTGTTGCAGCTGCATGGAATGCAAATATTCGTATGTTTGTGGCTCCATTTTAATGAGTTTTATCACGTTGTCTTGCATATCCATTACTTGTGGCATGGGCTTGTAGCTAATGTCAAGTAAAACTTTTGGAGAACTCGACCGGATAGACATACTTATTTTTTCAGTATTTCTGAATTAAAAAAATATCAAAGCTGAGCCATACAGACAAAATTAAATAAAAATTTGCGGTTTCTAAACGCGCGTATTACTGTTTACGAAATTATCCACTTTTTATATACACATATTTACTTAGTTTATACATATATACAGGTGTACAACTGTACATGCGATTTATTTTTTTTTGTTATTTATTTATTACTGTGGTTTAGTATTTGTATTTTAATTTGTTTTTGAACAACCGTTTTTCTTAAAGGTTTTTCTCACATCCTACCCGGCACATGTATGAAGTTTAACTAATGCCTTCTTGCTTGAGACGAATCTCAAAACAGCAAAGCACTTTGCGCTACTGGAAAAGTTATTGTTGTTGCATATGTGTATCAACTGTGCGAACAGCGAACGATCGTGTTGAGAAAGAGACAACTATAGTCTAAAGAATTATGACGTCATAAGACAAGAACAGCTAGTTTGCAATGTTATTTCCGTTAGACGTACTTCGTAGTAACCCGACGGTTGACCGAACACCAAATACAAAAACACTAAAGCCAAAGGCCAATCAACGTTGTCAGATGGTCGGTTTGTAAATAAAAATTTATGTTTGTGCATCCATATGTACATATCTGTGTGATGATTTTGGTAATGGCGATTAGCCATCGATGAGCTACTCTGAATACATTAGGATGCTTCACGCTATACTTAAACATATATAAAAATATTTTTATCATGGTATACATAAATTATAAACCTGTCTAAGGGTCCATGCACAATCAAATCGGCCCAGGCACTTTACCACCGCACTGTCCTTATATGGGTGTATATATGTAAATATGTAGCTGGGCCCTTTATCACTACGATTACATTTGGATTACTTAGGATTACGGTTACTGTAATTATAACCCCGAAAATTTTCAGCATTACTATTACTAAAATTGTAATTATAACATGCTTAATTGCGAATACTTTAATTGTAATCCTTATAGTAATCGTAATCCTATAAATTTTAAGATTAAAATTACCTAATTGTAATCATGAAAATTAGGATTACGATTACAGTAGTCGTAATCGCTAAATGTTTATACCCGTTATAACGGTTGTTTGTAAGAGCCAAAACGAATCTAGACAGATATAGATAAATCTATACATAAATTCTCACATTGAAAAGAGAAATCGATTAAGCCATGTCTGTATTTAGAAGTATTTATTGTGGTGTGCCCTTAATATAATGTCTGGATAAGCACTTTGTATCACATAAACTTGAAAATAGAAAAAGTAAGCTTATCAAGAAATTAAGAAATCGATTCCTAAAGTCTGAATCAGTTAAAATTCCAATATCACTATGCTAATGCTCTTTAGAATTTGTTGAACTCGCCGCGGTCCCCGAAAACAAAAGACTTAAGAAACGAACCGCACCTTTCGGTCCTTTCATAATGGATACCCCATGAGTAAGTGAACCTCTGTGACCAATTATAAAGGTAATTGCTAAACATATAAATCAGTACTCAATGTCCCAAATTACCGTAACTGCGCGGAAAAAATTTAGTTTTGTTATTTTATTGCACTTTATTCTACGTTGACGAGTTAGATATGTTAAATAGGGGCTTGAACCAGTCAAACGAACAAACCGTGTTCGTAAACAAGCGCAGAGGTATATCAAAAAGCTTTCTGCTTAAGCCAATAAGAAAGAGCCTAAGCTTTCATTCGACATGCCGACGCACAGTGGTTTAGCCCCATACATTGTTTGGAGAAAATTAGAAGGAGTAGGCCTAGGACTCTAATTTTTCGTATGTAAACTATAAGGATATAAATCAAGACAAAAACGAAAAATTGGTGTGATCGGTTTATTTTAAAGCATACCTCCCATACAAACCTAACCTCGAAAACGCCTTAAAAATGACATTCAAAGGGCACCGATGAATGAAGGACTCCGAAATTTCGTCCATATATTCACAATAATGGAGCAAGTAAACATACAACAAATTTGCAAAATCGATTTACTTTAACGCATACCTCCCATACAAACCTAACCTCAAAAACGCTTAAAGATGTAATTAAAAGCGCATCGATGAATACACGACTCCGAAATTTTGGCCATATATATATAATGATAATATAAGCAATCACCCTTAATATGGCTGTAATCGGTTTATTTTTACGCACACCTCACATACAAGCCTGACCTCAAAAAACTTAAAAAAGCTATTTAAAGGTAAAGAAAAGTCCTCATATTATACAAACTACATACATACTTGTGCAAGCTGAATTATACAAAAACTTATAGCAGAAACTCTATATATGTATGTATATAAAAATAGTGCCTCACGGTGGGTAAAACTACTAGGCGAAAGGCCTCAAATAAAGTACACTTTAACTTTTCCCACTCATTTATTTCATAATTAATACAAATAATCCACACTTCAACATCAAGTCAAAAGAATACTAAGTTTTAAATGAATACGTATTTAAATATATTATTAAAAAAATAGCTCATAAATACTTAAAAACTAAAAATAATACCAAAAAAAAAATAAATCTCAGTCGGTAGTATCAACTAATAAAGATTTGACTTCCTCGTTTAACGGCAAGATTTTTTTAGTAGTTTTTACCCTTAAACTATTGATATATGGATCCGAGGTAGCTAATAGCAGGCTCATGATATCCTCGTTTGTGGTTTCACGTGAGCATTTCCTGGAATTATACTGCCTGTACCTGCGATATTCCTTGTTGCGTGCCTCTTGTATTTCTTCAGTTAACATTCCTATGGGCAGTGTAGCAGCGGATATTATTTACTTCCGTGGGTGAGTGTTTTGTGTACAGTGTTTGGCATATTATACCAACTACACAAGCTTACATATAGTAATTCCGCTGTTTCATTGCAATAGCTTCCAAACTTTTCAGCATCGATTATCTCGCCACACTTTATGGCTTGTAAGATAATTGAGATTCTTTGAATTAGATTTTCATCTACGCCAGTAATCGCTGCCGTCACGCTTGGAGCGCCAAAATATCTCCTAGAGGTATTTCCGTCATTTGAAGATCCCATACCTTGCTTAACAAAGTCTACTCTTATACCTTCTTTTTCGAAAAACTTCTCTTGGATTCTTTTTTTCTCTGACTCTTTATATGCCTTTGTACTTGCATTTGGCCTCCAAATTTGAAAAGATTTATTGTATGCAATATGTAGAATGCATTCCATAAACTTGATTCGCGCATGTAGTGGAGACACACCTACTCTAAAGGCATCTGTGTCTTCTGTTTTTCTTCTAACCCGATCTAAATCATTCATCTCAGAAGGTTTACTATTGCATATCAAACATACAGCGTTGGAAGCTGTATCAGTGCGCTATTTTTCCATCGATCATTGTGAATAGAAGTTCGTGATTAACTTTAAAGGCGTTGCTATTAATACAGACAACAGTTTGATATAAATTAGCTATTTCAGAATTCATTCTCGATATCTCGTTGTTTATCAAATCTATGGTTTCCTTGGAGTATTGAAATTGTATGGGTCGACATAACCTTGTAGACGAAGGGCTATTGCTCTTCCAGTATACGGAGCTATCGTTATATTTTTTTAAATGTAACTGAAGAGGCACTAAAGACATCAAAAATATATTTGAGTCTGAGATACCTTTTTCATAAAATTTCTGCTTATATTCACTGTGCCCAGAAGAACCGTCACATCCCCAGTTGGAAATAAGTGTGATTTCTTCTTTGATATTAGAGAGTTCTTCTGCCGATTTGGTTTCTAAAATTCCGCTTGTTGTGTGATCAAGCAATTGCTGTAAACCTACACAAGCATAACTTTCAGTAACATCTATATCTGCAGGATAACATTTTTTCTTCGATTCAAGAACTTTATTGTAGTTCGGAAAAATGTCATACCCCAAGTCTTTTGTAGCTTTTCTGACAATTTCGTATTGATGCTTTGATAGTGAAACATCTAGCATTAGCGCCAGGGCCTTTTCTTTTCTTCCGTGTCATCAACCGAAAATGTCCCTTTTAACCAGTCCTCGTTCTTGGAAAAAAAATATTTTTTCACTCTCGATGCAGCGATTTACTTAGTCCAGTACAAATTTTCTCAAGAACTCTTTCTGTAAGGTTTGGGTATTTATGTTCATCTTATGCACTTCACGATTATTTGCAATTGCAATTTCAGCTAACTCTGAATTAGGAATGTTGAAAATTGCCACACTTACTAAATTCGGTGTTAATTTCTGAAGCGGATAATAAAGATGAAGTGAAAAATATTAATTTACCCTCGCATACTTTACTACGTCGTTTAAAAGTAAATTACCTCCATTATTTATGATTTCGAATGCTTGCACTATTTTCGAATAAGAATAGCTTTGTTAGTTAAATCACTCTTTACAAAAAGAATTGCGGATAATTGCAGCTGGAATAGATTATATATTAATCCTAACTAGTATAGAAGTAATATAATATAGTATATATAATAAAGCTATATCACAACAAAACGGACGGAGCAGAAAAAAAATGTAGTCCATGTATGAAGTATGTATTTTAAATTTTTTTTTTATGTAGGTATTCAAACCCATGACTTTACTGGCTTAGTTTTCAAACTTGTGATTATATTTGCTGTCAAATCTTGTAAAACCGGGTCACCCAAGGGGTGTAGTGTTAGTAATAAGCATGATACAAAAAACAAGGTAGTTCCATTGTCACTTTTTCGTCGCCATATTAACAACCTGACAATTAAGCAGATTGTGAAATTTCGTGCTACCATACACAATATCTAAAATCCTTCAAATTTTCTTATTAATTTTTTGTCGATCTAAAAATCTTTGTTCTTAAGCATAGTATTTTATTCCTGTTTCACGTGAAAAAGCTGTTAAATTTTATACAAAACTTCTTTCTGTGAAATAAGCGTGAAATTCCACAACATTTCCTCAGCAAAGTAGTATTCTGTTCACGCTGTGAAAAAGCTCGCAACATGAAGCTAGTAACACAATTTTCATGACATTTTTAAATACACATGTACATTTTAAATTGTGTGAAAGCTGACAGTTTATAGAATTCAGTAGCGGCGAAAACAAAGGGGGGTTAAGTGATTAAACCTTACTCAAGCCGATCGTAAAACTTGCAACGCAATTTCAGCTTATGCCTGTCGGTCTTGGCAAGAATGTAATCCCTCAAGGTTTAGCTTAACATGGTTC